CACCTTGCACTTGTCAGAGTTGAATCCCATCCTGTTCTTATCCACCCACCCCGTAACCTGTCTAGGTCTGATTGCAGTCTATTCCTCCCTTTTAGTGTGCCCACATCCCCCCCACATCTCAGTGTCATCAGCAAATTTGAACAGGGTGCTTTTTACCCCCTTGTCCAAGTCACTGATGAAGATGTTGAACAGTGCGGGCCCGAGGACCGAGCCCTGGGGGACCCCACTGCCCACATCCCTCCAAGTCAAAAATGACCCGTCCATCACCGCTCTCTGGATGTGGCCCTCCAGCCAGTTGGCGACCCATGTGACTGTGTGGGTGTCGACACCACAGTCCCCCAGTTTTTTAATTGTCTGGATTTTTTCTTGTCCTGGGTTTTTAACCTTCTCCAAAGAAGCTGGGACTCTGGCTACGGGCCTGTCTAAATGTGGACCAGACACTCTACCTGTCGTGTAGAAAGCCTTGTACTGAGCCAACCGTAGTGCTTTTATCTCTCCATCCTTTCCAGCCGCTCCACTGTTGGGATGGAACAACGTCTAAAGGGAAACAAGAAGGCAGCAGGTGAGAGAGTCCCAAACTTATCTTCCCCTGACCTGAGCTCTGACCCATTCTCCCACTGCAAGCCTGTGCAGAGACACCCATTCTTCTTCCCCCTCTCCCCACTAACAGCCCGTCTTGCGGACCAAGTCTCTTTTAGAAGAAAAGCTCTGTCAAAAGACACCTAGGCATTAAGGCTGGGGGAAAGGAAGAGCTGTTGATGCTCCTCAGCTGTGACCACCCTGAACCTCAGAGCATGGTGTGGTTACTGCTGGGCCGTAGCAAATCTGCCTGCTGGCTTTGTTGTTACCATACTCTTCGTTCTTGCTTTTGAGCCTCCTCTCCTTGAACATCATCCTGTTCCTCAAGACGGAGCCCATTTCCTCCCCAGGGCGCACCATGATGCGCTGGGGAAATGTGATCATCCAGGTTGCCTGTTTATAATGATCCCTCTTGTTTTTCCAGCTCATTGTTAAGCAACAGTGAATACCCATCTTAAGAGCTGCTTCAAATGGGAGAGTTCCCTGCCACGTTTGGCAATGCCCTTCTATTGCTCTAAGCAATGATTCATAGACATTAGGGCTGGAAGGGACCCTGTGAGATAATGAGGAAGCACAAAGGTGTGACACCTTGCATTTTCCCGTCAGATGGCAGCTCTGCTGCAAGGGTCTGGAGTGAAAACAGTGCCTAGGCGAAGAGTTAGGAGCCTTGTTAAGGGCTCAGGTGTATCAGCAGGGAGAGGGGCAGTGCCTTTTGGGAGCTGGCAAACAGACCGTGATTTGCACAGAGGTGCCTGTATTCCCCTACTGTAATTTCCCCCCCGCTGGAGAAAGCCAGACAGGATGCCAGCAAGACTTGCATGTCACTCCTCTCCTGAGTTAGTGGCAGGGACATCTGAGAGATCCTGACAGTTATACAAAGCCAGCAAGCAGGCCACGAGTTCACAGTGACTTCATGTCTCTTGTCAAGCGGAGGTTGTGCTTGGCGTTTGGGCAGTGGAGCAGCACAGTTCATCTCCTCTGACTCACCCGCTTTGTCCCAAGGACTCTCCCTTTGTGAGCAGCTAGAGCCGTGCGGAGGGGAGCTAGGACAATGGGGTGGGGTTGATTATGTCTCAGCCAAAATCTGACACCCTCCGTCTGTACAAGAAGATCCCCTGGGGCCTGGGGCCCAAGATAGAGTTGCAGGGAAAGTGAACCCGTGCTTCTGGGGGCTTGTCTCTCCAAGAATATCTCCTTGGATCACCACTGCTCCATATGAGGCTGAATCACGAGAGGTTCCTTCCCTGGGAAGCAGTTAAAATGATTCATAAAGTTTCCACCGCCCTAAAAATGAGAAACATCTGCTGAGTTGGTAGGCAGCTGCCTGGCCAAGTTTAGCAACAGCACTCACAGCTGATCAGTGATACGGTTACTTAGCAGGTGCCCCAGCCTGCAGCCTCTGGACCGTACACGCTAGCACACCCAGGCAAATATAATCTGTGCCTTCAACTACATCCAAGTGCAAACCCCACCCGAGAACAGCTTTGCCTTTCATTTCTCCCCTACAGAGGAAAGACTAGGACCGTAACTCATTAGTGGGCAATGGAAAACAGAGCAGAGGCTTGGTCAGACTGTGCAGCATCCAGCCAGCGTGTCGACATCTGTTCATCCCTTTGCAAAGGCCCTTGTGTCCCAGCCAGAGCGTCTTTCATGGAGCTAGCAGACATCCCAGAGGTCAACAGGGCTGTAATAGTTCAAAAAGGCATCTCTCCTCTTGCATCCCAAAATAGCTCGAGAAGCCAACACTGCAGTGCCTTGGAAAGGCATTAGCGCCAGGGACCTTCCTTTGAGCACGTGCTGTACTGCACACATGGCGTTTTCCTGACGGGACACACAAAGATATCACATTCTTTGGGTAAATGTGATATCTTTTATTAGGCCAACTAAACAGTTGGGAAAATCGTTCATTGCAAGTTGTTGGGCACAAGCGCCCTTCTTCAGGCACATCGAGAGTCTGCTGGCGAAATGTGAGCTCTGCTGGGTAGAACAGGAGGCCCTTGGAGAAGTGACCTCTCTCTCTGTTGGAGAAGCTTCCAAATAAAGCTCAAAGGCCTGATAAGCAGGGATCTTGGTTTTCTCTGATTAAAAAAAATCTCCAACTTTCAATTAAAAAAAAAGATTAAGCCAAAATCCACATTTTTCCATGATCAAAATGAAATGCCACTAATATATAGATATATATACAGTGGTGTTGTGTTTTGATCACGGAAAAATGTAGATTTGAGCTTACTTTTTTTAAACCGAAAATAGTTTGTTTGTTTTTTATCAGAGAAAACCAGGATCCCTGCTGATCAGATTTCCCTCCATACACAAATTGACCGCACAATTTCCAGCAGCCTTCATCCAAACATCTCAAAGCACTAGACTGGGTACTCACGCTGCCCTGGTGAAGTGAGGAAGTGTCCAGATGCCATTTTACATATGAGAATCGAGCCCAGACAAAAACAGGGATGCAGCTAAGTTCTGCAGCTCGAATCTGTGTATTTCAGTGGGGTTTGCACAGGTGAGACTGAGAGCAGACACTTCATTTCCGTGGTTGCAAAGTGCTCTGGTGATTTATGGCCACCGGCGTGCATGAAGTGACACAGAGAACGCATAAAAGGATTTTTAAAAAAAGAAGCCAAGCAAACCAGAGGACTTCTGACCCACATCTGCATCCTCTTCTATGTGGGAACAAAACAGAGGGCGAGAGCAAGAAGACAGCATGAGAAGTCAAAATCCCTTGCTCAGCAGCTCTCCAGAAGGGATCAATATTGTATGGGGAGGGGGAGATCCAGACTCTCCATCAAACTGTCTTCAGCTTTCGGTGACGGGTTGAAAGAAATCCAGTCGGGAGCAGCCTCGCTGCATTTCTGGTTGGTTGCAGGGTGAATGCACCCCATGCCCTACGGGTTGGCCTTCTCCCCTGTACGGTTCCCTGAAGTTCAAGAAGGCTAAGCTTGCATGGATGCTACGGGTTGTACCCATTCTAGGTAGCACTTGATATGACTGCATGTGCCAATGCAAAGTCCCTCCACCAGCTGTTAATGAGGATCACCAGAGTCAGATGAAGAGAGTCTCAGAGAATGCCATAGGCCAGCCCCGGGAGCTTTCAGCAGGGACAATGAACAGAGACCCTTGCTTCTCCATTCGGACTCAGGCCTCTCCCCCTCCCTGCACCTCTTGGAGGTCTCTGAGCCACCTTAGCTCCTAGCGAAATTGCTGGATTGAGACCCTCTCTGGCTGCCTCAGTTGTGGCCATTTCAGCCCCAACCTTATTATTACATGGAGGCACGAAACAGTTCACCAGGGCCTCGGAGGGGGCTGCATGCAGTGCAGTGTCACCAATATCCCTCCCAGGCTCCTGCTGTCCTGAGAGTTTGGTCAGGCAATGCAATGCTCATGCAATAACCCTCCCTACTTGCTTGCCTACTGCACTTAGAGACACGGGGGGCCTGTGGGTTGCTCACTAGAGCTGACAGCCCCCCAGCGCAGGGCTGGCTGAGCCATCGCCAGCACCGGGGTTACCCTCTAGGTATGCCTCTGGTCCTTGTCACCATAGCATCCTGCCTGGCCAGGTCCCATCCGCAGAGCCTTCCAGCTCAATTGCTCCAGGGCAGAACAATTCCTCGCATTCAGCCCTCCTGGCCGAGGCAGCTCACGATTCGGCTAAGCTGTGCAAGGAATGCTGTTACCAGGAGAGCCGGGGAGCTCGGGCGCTGGAATGCCGATTAGTCCTGGCCTTTCACAGGCCCAAGCCTGTTTGGAGAAAAGGGGCTGGAAGCAGGGGGAGAGATGAGAGAGGAGCAGAAAAATATGTTGTTGACGGTTTGCTGCTTTTCTAGAAAACAGTGGAAGCACAGACGGACCCTCAGAAGGGTCCAGACAGCGCTCTGAGCCGTTTCCTCAGGGCAGCACAGCTCACGGAAACCCTTGTTTCCCAACTCTGCCTTCCTCCATTCCCAAACTCCAGCAGAGAGAGGGAGGGTCCTCAGCCCTTTGGAGAGGCCCCCAGAAGTATGTTGGCCACTAGACAGCGGTACATAGGGAGAAGAAGACAATCAGATAGTTAGATGAGGCCCGTTATATCCCAGGAACATTTCACTTCATCTAAAAATTCCCCCTGAGACTAGATTAGAGACTAGATTTACTGCTCCCAGTCCCGCTGAAAGCTTCTCGCCCAACTACAGACAAGAGATGGGGCAAGGAGAACATATCAAATGAAAGGGTAGCAAAATAAAAGACACATTTTTGTGCTTTACTACGTAAAGAGCCTGTGGAATTTGCTGTCATAAAAAGGGGTCAAAAAAGATGAGATGTTTGAATCAAATAAGTAGTCAGAGTAACGTGATTTTAGGTACGGTACAGATCTATAAGGGAGATAAACCCTCCTGCTTTCAACTATCAGTTAAACATCAATGCCCTGAGGCCAGAAAGAGAGTCCTCCTCGTAGAATGGCATTGTATAATTCTTTTCATACAATCATAGAAAATGAGGCTTGGAAGGACCTTGGGCAGTCACATCTAGTCCAACCCCCTGCTCAAAGCAGGACCAGCCCCAACTACATCATCCCAGCCATGGTTTTGTCTACCTGGGTCTTAAAAACCTCCAAGGATGGAGAGTCCACCACCTCTCTGGGTCACCTGTTTCAGTGTATCGCTACTCTCCTGGTGAGAAAATTCTTCCTAATATCCAACCTCAACTTCCCTTGCTGCAACCTGAGCTCATTGCTCCTTGTCCTGTCACCTGCCACCGGTGAGAACAGCCCAGCTCCATCCTCTTTGCAGCCCCCCTGCAGATAGTTCAAGGTTGCTATTAAATCCCCCCACAGTCTTCTCTCCTCTAAAATAAATAAGCCCAGTTCCCCCCGCCTTTCCTCCTTTCTTGCAACACCTTCCTGCTAGGACTGGATGCTGCCAGAGACTAGATACTGGATGAGATGGACCACTGGCCCTGCACAGCTAGGCAAAAGTTAGGCAAGTTTGCTCCTAGCATTTGTCTGTCTTTAATTCAAAGAATGCTCCCTATGTGAAAACAGAGGATCCACACTAACAAATAGCTGTAACCTTCACAAACTAGTCTCTGCTCTCGAGATGCCAGCCACTACAGTGACTTTCTTGCATTCAAAGTTTCTAAGGCTCACTGTGGAAAGTGTCCCCTATTTAAACCAAGACTGAAGCCGCTGCCCTGATCATATCCGAGAAGGGTCCGCTGTGTATGATGGTAGCTTACTACAGAAAGCCAGAACTGCCAGGCAAATATTTAACTAATTATAAGGATAGCAAAGCATGGGAACAAACCACCTCCAGATGTTGGGAAATCTCCTTTGTTGAAGGCTTATAAGAACAGGTTAGACAAACAAGGTATACTTGAGCCTGCTTCAATGATCTCTTCAGGTCCCCTTCCAGCTCTACAGTGCTCTTACTGTAAATTCAAATACAACTATCTAATTTAATTCACCTCCCTAACACTTCCCGGTGGTGTCTGTTCATTTTTAAGGCTTGTTTACTGAATTCCCTTTGATGCCTCTTGAATTTCTAAACAGCTATTCCTATTTGATGCACTGGCATCTTTTTGATATTCCAAGACTCTCCATCTGTGTTATCTGTCAAGACAAGAGCCAATTAAAAATCCAAACATTCATGAAGCAGGCTGAGCATGGCATATACAGCACTAAGTTAGAAAAAGTGGATGGTTCTATTAGAAATTTGAAACACTTTTGGTTTTCTTTGACTTCCCATTTATTTTTGCAGCTTTGCCATTCAATAATGAAACTAAACAAATTGAGCTTTTGAAAACTTTCCAGTGAAAAGTTGGGTTTTGATAAAATATACGTTTTTTAAATCCTGTTGGGGGTTCTTGAGGGGGGAAATTAAAAAAAAAAAGAAAGAAAAAATTCATTAAAAATATTTTTTTCCTGTAAAAATTTTCATGTGGCACTAAGGCCACTTTCCACGACTACATCCACAAGGAGTCTTGAACTGAAAATCAATATTACATTTATGCTCCCTTTAAGGTCCCTGTAAACTAAACTACTATTTAAGTGGCCTTAGTATAAGCAATTATCATAGTCAGTGGGTCTAATGCCCCGTTTAAAGTTTGACCTTGCAGGCGCCTATACATGAGCACAGAGGCTGCTCTGACCCAGTCCGTCGAGTTTGCTGGAGCATGGCAATCACTGCACTCCAGCAGCCTCCTGCATCTTGTGTATCGGTGTCCCCATGCTTGAAAATGGTGGCAGAGGTGCTTTAACCAAAGCTCATTGAACGAGCATTACTTCAAGCACCCCTGCTGCTATTTTCAAGCACAGAGACGCTGATATAGGAGACGACGTGGCGCTTTAATTAGAGCAGCTCTCCAAACCACGCTGAAGTGCCACCCCTCTTCCCAGTCCCTGCTATGTCAGTATAAAGGCTCTATATAGAGCAGTATGGCTTTAATCCTGTACTGGAAGAACATAAACTTTACCAGTAGGCAACCTCCTCAGCATTGTGCCTTAATGCAATCGT